TAGCACATGTCCAGTGTCTTTCAAAACAACAATGCATTTGCATTTTCTTGTTGTGGTCCATTGACGGCCGCTGCAGTAGTCTAATAAAATTGTCGATAGATTGCACCTTTGATTAGTGGTTGAACCTTACTAAAGAGTAAGGTACTAACTTCTAATTTCTAATTCTTAATTATTGTCCCTGTCATAAAAAAAAAAAAGAAAAAGAAAAAAAAGAAATGTATTTATGCAAACCCGATCTAACTCTTTGCCTTGAAGAGATACGGTTTCAATTGAGACTTAATCAGATCCTACTACGAAGAATGAAATAGTATGATTATGTTAATAAAATCATACTTGGTGCTTACATTAGTACTACGTTTTAATTTGATTGACTTAATATATATCATTTATAGAATTAAAAAATATATATTTTTTATATATCAAAAGATAACTATTTAGCATTACAGAAGTTTAAATTCTTGATTTTTATCTCAAATTAAAACTCTTAAATTAGTGGATATCAACTCAACCAAACTCTTATTGATATAAAATTGAAATAAAATGAGACAATACATGCACTTGGAACCTTGGGTACTTTGGATAGAGTGGAGAACATCTTGGTCAAGATTAGGATTTAAATCCCAAGTAACGAGTGCGGTTATGACTACCAATTGTTTTGTTAAGACCACTAAATTTATATTTAATTTAATTGATATTTACAATTCTTTTCTTAAATATATAATTTTGATATTTGAAAATATAGTCTATAAACTGAGTTCAATTTACTAAATATATAAATATCAATGCTTTATTAATTATTAATTATTTTTAATAATTAAATCAAATAAAATTAATATTTTTTTAACAAAATTTTAATAATCTTAATAAAAAACAACGGGTAGTCATAACCCAACAACCCCAAGTAACCTGGGCTTTTTTTAGTTTTATTGTTCTTCCTTTCCCCCCATTGCCAAATTAAAAAAAGAAAACAAGAAAAAAAGAATGATGCTTACTAGTGCCAGGTGGACTTGATTGTGATCCCCATGACAACTAGCTTAGGGGTTTGTAGTCAACATTGGTTGGGTTGCTAGCCACATACTAAACTCAGGCACTGTGTGAGGGCCTGAAGATTTGGCATCACTAGCCTGATAAGTGACAACTGAAATAGACTCACGAACAGGGGTGATGGAGACCACAAATCTTTTTGGTTTAATTGTTAAGAGTGTTTCCGAGCTAATCTAGATGTAGTTCAATTGTTAAGATTAATTTCTTTTCAATCTAATTAAAAACAGGTCATTCAGGACCACTCCCGAACTGAAAATTCTTGAGGATCCACACTTTAGACTACATGTTAAGAGCCTTATAATCTTGGACTAATTAAGATTCCTCATGAGAAATTTCTCGAATTGCATTCAACAGCATACCCTCTGTGAGAGTAATGCCACAATTGTATTACATTGCTAGGCTTGGACACCATATGCAATGGCAACAGACTCTCTAAGTCGTGGGCCTTCAAAAAATTACCCATCTTGATCATGGATCAGGAATCATGTGAAACACAACCAATAGTCATTGGCAATGTTGTCAGGATCAAACAACTTCGAACCCTCCACCCCAGCTTTAAAAAGAAAGGAAAGAGACGCATCCTCTGCATCACTTAGAACAAGTCTTGATCAAAAAGCGAGAGGCCATGGAAGATAATAACGAAGAGGAGGATTATATGCACATAAGTTGGACCAAAACTTATCGGCCACCTTCATTTACTGCCATCTTCCCAATATTAACGAGAAGAGGAAGGGATGCATCCACTTCAACTTGGTTTAGGATGGCAGAAAATTAAGACATTATAATAATTAAAATATTAAAAATAATAAAAAAAATTAAATAAGGAAAATGATAATAAAATACTTAAATACTCTTAATAAATCAATATATAAGTAAAATTTATTAAAATTATTTAACAATTTTATAGGAAATCCTAACATTTAAAATCAAATATCAGAACTAACTTATTTTTACATTTTTTCTTAAAATAAATATTAAATATATTTATTATATTGAGATTGCTGTATATTAGTTGCGTCTCTAAAAAATTAAGATGAAAAACACCTCAAAAATTATGTCATTTCATTAAAATGGCACCATTAAAATAGCATGAGAAAAGAAGCAAGACAAACTCAATTCCAATTTAAAAATAGAATATTTTAATCCTTTTATAACGAAAATTTATTGAAATAACTTAATTTAAATTTTTTTTTATTTTTAGAGAATAAGCTGACAAACACTTTTCCCAAAATATTTTTAAGATACCTAAAATATCAAAAAACTTACCACTACAGGACAACCATCTTAGACCAAATATGTCCCTATGAAGCTTATGGTACTCACCTTTGACTTGCTCATAAGTACCACTAGAGTAATGGAGAAGAATTTGATCTAAAAAGATCTGCAACCTAAAGCTGACACTGTAATTAAGTGTCGTACGATCAACACATAATCTGCCATCACAAATCACAATTGCTAGAGCCTAGGGCTAGATGCTGCTAGGGCTGCCTAATCAACGCCAACAGCTCTTTCAGACCCACCACCCATCCATTCAATCCAATAATGAAAGAGATGTTATCATAGCATTCATTCTATTGTAGTGTAAGAAATCCGGGACAAGTATAGATCCTGGACAACAGGAGTCCTAATCTTTTTCCTTAGTAAACAAAGAAATATAGAGGCTTATGAAAGGAAGAATTGGCAGCAGTGGAAGATAGCAGTGTTCCTAGCAATGATATTTGAAGCAAATTTAACAATTTCTTCAGTTATGAAAATAAGCAAAAGAAACATCTTCAAGCGGAAGAATCCACAAACTGAACATATATAACATTACAAAAACACCAGAGCTCTAAGGCAATATAGGAGGTTAAACAAAACATTTATCAATCCATCTTATAATTCCATACATAGAGAGGACTAGATGGCAGGGTTATGGGAGAATTTGAGAAGGGATGGAGATGGTCTTTCACCAGATATGGTATGTTGCAAAAAGGAAAAAAATATTACTAACATTAAGCACTTGAATCTGGGTTATGGAGTTCACTCAAGTCTTCAAAGGGCAAGAGATTGATGCCTTGCCATTAGAGCTTGTTTCCCAATTTGACTGAAGAAAAGTTGGAGAACTGAAGAAAAAAAGCAAGCATTAATTTTGTATCCATAGACTCCACAAATTCAATCAGATGAGCCCTTCCAGGGAATTCGATTTCTGTAGAATTAAGTCATTTTAAACCCATTTGTGCAGTGTTGGTTATAATGCCAACAACAGTTTGTCATCCACAAGTTCACGCCCAACCAAGACTGGAGACTCTACTAGACATTATAAAGGAGCACAGGTTTCACAGTTTAAATATGTAGGCAAGCAGTTCAAGTACCCACCTATCAATCTCATTCAGCAAAGAAAACACACAATCCACAAACAAACACAAAATCTTACTCCCTTTGGTCTAAACTCATTGTCCCAATTAGACTTTTCACCTACTTATATAGCATATCAATGGCAGTCGAAAAATGTTTTTGATCAACTGCAACTGTCATTGATATACCATATAAAGTATTACCTTAAAATTAAGCACAAAAGTGAGACAACTAATTTTGACCAGAGGGAGTACTCTAAAATTAGCGAGCAGAAGGAATGGAATGCCAGCCAGAAGGGAGCAACACTATTCTTGTTCCTTACTAATTTCACCATTTACAGTAACCAAAAAGTGAAGTTAGAAGGCAACATTATCCAAGTACTGTAATACATATCCAAGTACCATATGCATTCGAAAAACCAAAGTCTTCATTAATTACCCCTATAGCAAACTAAGAGCCTAAGCAGCTAAAAAAGCCAGAACTAACTTCTGAACAAAGTCCGTATGAACCAAGCTGAAAAGCAACGGCAGGGATCTTACCTTCTTCCATTGACTGAAACCAAACTCTCCACATAAGTACAAGCTTCTAATGTGTAATCAGTTCCATCAACAGGAAGACTTCTGGCACTTCCATTCCTAGGATCATATGACCACAGGCTAGTGATATCTCCTTTTATCTGCTTCATGATCATCTCAATGTCTCCCCAAGTCCAAAACCCAACTGGAACCACAAACCTAGAAAGGTTTTCAGTAGAGAATATCTTAACCCAATTCCCCCTATCATTCACAGATTCATTCATTACCCAGATCTCGAATTGACTAGCATAATTTCCCCCAAAGTAGAGAGCAAAAGACAGTGACTCCTTATGAGACATAATTTTGACATTACCGGCCCTGCAAATTGCTGGCAGTGGTATCCTCCTAGCCTCCTCCTTATTCACATCAAATGATATGATGAACTTGCGATTGGACATGTCCTGCAATCCAGTTGCGACCCAATTCAGACACCCCTTCACATCGACAGCATTCTGTCCACCACCAATAATGCACGACTCAATTCGATCAAGCCCCTCAATTTCCCTCCAGAAACCAAGGCTCCATGTAAAAACCTCGGCTTTTACAAGTGGGTTTTGATCGTCAGAACGATTTTTGTCGCTGAAGTAAACAATTCTCACAATTTTGTAATCATTTTCAAAGCAATCATACCCAAATCCCAGAGAGACCATCCAAATAGGCGCATCCTTAGAAGAAGCAATCAACGGGATAGGGAGACGTTCCCACTGCCTAATCGAAGCATTCCACAAAACAAACTCCAAACCATAACAAGGCGAGACATCGAGACAGATTAGCCCATTACAAGAGCCCACGATCCTGGGATAACAAACCGAAGTCTTCAAAAGTGGAATTTCCGCATCATCGATGCGAAAGGGTGTTTTTTCAGTAGGGGTTCTTATTACCCAGATGCCAGAATAGTATCCGGTGGGGACATGGTAGCGGCGGATGACAAGGGAAGGGTTCTGGGCGGAGCGGAGGAGGTGGGTGGTGATGAAAGTAGGGTTGGAACTGAGATCATGGAACCAGCGTCTGGAAACGCCCTTGAATCGGGTTAGGGATTTGACGGGAAGCCTGGAGAGGATGTCGGAGATGGTATCTTGAGGAATTGTGGAAGTCATGGCTCTAGGTCTTCTAGAGGATGAACTCATCAGCCTCTGCTTGGTTCCCGAGAAAATGAAAAGGAGTATGAAAGGACTTTTATATTATATATAGAAGACGGAAATGTTATTCGGTTTTCTTAGGGTTTAAGTTCGCGATAATTTGGGCCCGATCATCAAGCCCAATGGTTAATCCCCAAGAAGAAAGAAGAAAATTCATATTTTCTTCAACTAGATAAAAAGAAAGATTTCAAATAAAATTTGTTAGAAGATATGAAAAATTTTGTTTATCCCTCTCCTAATTTTAAAAAATTAAGAGCAAAAAATTTCAAAATTAACGTTTTAATAATTTTCTATCAAAAAAACTAGAATAATTCATTTTTAAATAAAAGATCAAATTGTTTTAGTTTTTTTTTGTAATTTTTTATTAAAATGATATAATTATGTGTTTTTTCTCTTAATTATCTAAAGATTCAGTTAATAAATACTAATTTTATTTAATAATAAGATTAATTTTTTAAATCATATTTCTTTTTTCAAAAAAATTGTATTCTATTATTACTCGTAGGAAGTAAAAGCAATTCAACTAAGTACGTAGCAAAAGATAACTTTACCGAAAAGAAAAATGTAGCGAAAGATAATCATTGTATTGGCAGGATATCAGAAAAACTTTAAAAACATAGAAAAAAAAGA